ACAGTTATAAATCCATGAATAATAGGGTACATATAGCCAATAAAGGCAAATGAAAATAATATCAGAAACTGTATTGGGGTGCATGTGTAAGTTGAGATGATAGTCCATTAGTTAACATAGTTAATCAAATGTGTATAGGGTACATAGTCAGAAAAATGTGATGAAGTGTGAATGAACAGTTGGGTGATATAGTGCTGTTTTATAGTCAACAGAATACAAGTGTCATTGGGGTGAGAGAAATGTGATAAACACAAAATACATACAAATACACATTAACAAAGGGGACACTGAATGTCAGGGCTGACCGATAATGTCTAATGATAAAATAAAGAGGCTAAATTGTAAATTGTAATACGATGTTACAGAATCGGTAGGCTTAGTATAAAATCACAAAGGTTGACAAAATTAAGGGTAACAATGAGGTGAAATAAACTGGGTGCAGAAATGGATAATAAAGACATGATATCACAAAATGATAATAATGATAATAATAATACGGAAAATTATGAGCCTGGTGACCTCATAGTGGGCCAGGGTAGACAGAGAGAGTGAATAAGTTCTTTCTGTACACAGAAATCTGGTCTTTTTCTATTAATCTCTAAAGCCTCAGCTATGGCTAGGAGGCGTAATCGTGTGCCTTTGGGGAGATTGTTCGGTATTCGATACAAAACTGTAAATGACTCATCTACTTTGATGCTGTGTTCGCTATCCATTAGATGAGACAGAATTGTACTATTTAAAGGTTTGGCTGCTCTTTTCCCAAGCCAAACAGGAATATGTTCACGAGTGCGTAAAGATAAATTCCTTAGAGTACGACCTATATAACTAGCTCCACAGGAGCAGTTGAATTTACATACACACATTGATGTCGCCATTTTGGGTAATCTATCTTTAATGCACAATGTCACTATCGGTTTGGTTGAGAAAGTGACATGCAGTTTTGCGGCACTGAAAGTTCTTTCAATTGATCTTGTTAATCTACGGTTTAATATGTCAATGGGTATATCTCCATTGAATTGTAAATTTAAGTAGAGCTTTTTCTTACTTACTGTGTCTCGCTTAATTTTGTGAATCTCTATTTAAAGCACTCTCGCCTAGTTGACTAGCTTACTAGTTTTCTAGCCGGTCCCAAGCCCCAGTAAAGAAAGAGGCTTAAGCGTGGTGCTAGCGATCCTACACAACTAAACCTATCAAACCGTTAGAGAAACTTCAATGCACTAAGAATACATTAAAAATACACAAATTCAAATAACACTCCTATTCTTTACTGGAATCGGAGAGGCGAAATGACGCAGCGAGCTGGTTGGTAAAAGCCTTCAGGAACCCAGTCAGCCGGCCGATGTGTCCTCATTCTTTGTATTACTCTTCTCTAAATGAAAGCAAGAATACGGATGGGGACGTAAAATATACGTACAATGTACGAGACTAGGAAGGCTATCCAGGTAGCCAAAGAAATGCGAAGATATGGCATAGAAGTGCCGTGTATCTGCGAGAGCAGACGAAATGGATATGGATTATCAAAATTCTCAACCGTAGAGTTAGTAATCTACTCCAGTCTGGTCACCCAGACGACAACCACAAACACACTGAGGCAGTGAGCGGCTGTCATGATGTCACCGGTGGCAGCCAAAGCCCTCATGCAGTGGGAGCCATTTCATGACAGCATGATTCAATTCAAAAATCAAGAAGGAAGGTCACAATTATCCGATGCTACGCACAGTGCTACAAACAACGCGAAACAAGAGAAGAAGGAAGATTTCTATAGACAACTGCAAACAGTAATCGACAATATCGCAAATGGTAACATCAAAATTTTCATGGGCGATATGAATGCCGGCTGACTGGGACCAGATAATACGATAAGAAAACACATCATGTGTCAAGACGCTCTCGAAGAAATTTTTGAGAAAGGAAAATTATCCACAAACTTCTGAGTATTCAGTGATCTGGTGACCGGAGGCAGCGTGCATAAGCACAAGGATATATACAAAGTAACTTGGATTTCGCCTGACGGATACACCACAATCCAGACAGGCTTCATCTCAATGTTGCTCAAGGAAGTGGAGGCACAGCCTGATGGACAAAAGGTCGAGAAGGGGAGCTGGTGTGGCCTCAAACTATCATCTAGTTCACGGAACCTTCAAGGTGAGGCTGAAACCCCTGAAAACAACTGGTAACAGACAATAACAATTCAAGTTCAACATACGGAAACTGAGGGACTAAACTACACAGGATACATTCACTAAAGATCAGAGCAAAGTTGAAGACAGTAAGTGGTATCACTGAGGAAACCTGTGAGGAACAACATTGCAACTAACTCTCTGAAGGTGATATTCACGGAAGCGTCTAAAACCATTCTAGGAAGAAAGAAGGAACGCGACAAGGAATGGCTCTCAAAGGATACCTACCTGGAAGCTAATAGAACAGAGGAGAGGAAGATGGTGAAAAAGTAGATGACTCAATGCAAAGATGGACAACAGAAGGAGAAGCTGAGTTCAGTGCACATCTCACTGAATAAAGAAGCGAAGACCAGTGCTAAGAGAGACAAAAGACAATTCTAAGGCACACTGGCTGCCAACTGAAGCATGACAGGCCAGCCGCAGGTAAAACACACCTCAGAACATTATTTCAGATAACCAAGTCACTCGCTATCTGGGAAGACGTCAACAGAGATGATGAAACCAATAAAAGGTGCTCAAGGGAACCTGATTACCAAGGAAGGAAAACAAACAAAACAGTGGGTGGATCCCTCGAAAGGACTCTTGAATTGACCATCACCTGCAACTCGTCCAGAATTACCTTCAACAGCATACACAGAAATGCCTGCTAGTGGACGAATCCTCAAACTAAATCGGAAATGTTCAATGCAGTCAGGCTACTGAAGGTTATCTGGGAAGGCAGAAAGACTAGACGGAATTCCATCTGAAGCACTGAAAACAGACACAGAGACTGTAGGAGGTGTGCTTCTACCATTATTGCAAAGTGTTTGTAGGAAAAGAAAGGTACTTACGGTTTGGAAAAAAGGCTTCATAGTCAAGCTGCCAAAGAATGGTGACTTACGACTCTACGAGAAATGACTGGCGTAGGTTATTGCTCTTCTTCACACCAAGTAAAATACAAAGTCGCATCATTCTGGAGAGAACAAGAGATATAATGGACGCAGAACTCTGCCAAGTGGAACAAGTTGGATTCAGGAAAGGCACATCATATGCTGACCAAATTGTAACTCTATACAATGTCATCACGGAACAAAGCATAGAATGGTAGCCAAATATCTACCTCAACTCCATTCATTGACAGCGCTGACCAAGAAGCAATCTGGAAACTACTTCAACACTACGGCGTACAGTGTCCAAGTGTTTATCAACCTCATTCAACAGCCACCTACATAACAGTGTCAGGGGTCAGCTGATACACAGCCGAATATTCGGAGAGGCATTCGAATTGCATACAGGAATAAGACAAGGCTGCCTGCCTATTATCGCCGATGAAATTCCTATTTGTGGTGGACTGAATTATGCGTCAGGCTGAGCACAGGGACTGAGAAGACAGGAATACTCTGCACCATCAATAAGAAGAATCTAGGAGATCTGGATTTCGAACATGAGTGATTTATGTTCAATGTCACACAAACTGGAAGACTTGCAGGTGAAAGCCAACAAACTGGCTGAAATGACAGGCAGCAAAGACATAACTCAAAGTAAACATAGAGGATACGGAGTTGATGAAGATAACCAACGAAAAGCAACAACAAATACAACCAGCACCAATCACCATCAACGGGAAAGATTTACCACAGGGTACTTCCTTCACTTATCCAGCCAGGAAGCACTGTTTCAAATACAGGCGGACAGAACGGACGAAGATGTCAAAACCAGCCAGACAGCCAAAATCGGAATGGCGAGACATACCTTCATCAACCTGAAACCAGTTTACAAATCTTCTGCTTCAATCAGCCAGCATAAACAACAACATTCGGATTTCCAACACAAGTGGGAAGTCAGTCAGTCAGTTCTTCTATACAGGTTAAAAACTGGCACTGTGTGTCACGAAAAGGATTTACAACATGTTACTGCAGACTTCCATCAACAGCTGTCACGTTCGCTGCCTCCATACTAAAGATCGAATAGCCAGCTGACCAGAATGAATTAGCAACCAGAAGCTCTGACTGGGAAGAAATCAACAGACGAGAGCCGATTGCTCAGCAAAAATATGTAGGAGAAAATGAAGGTAGATTGGGCTTCATTCAGGAGACCGTCAAATGACATCACCCGCCAGCCCCTCGAGTGCTATCCAAATGGGAAACGACTAGTGGGTCGTTGCCTCGAGGGTGACATGGAGGAGGTAGTTTCTGGAGTATGAGATGAAACATTACGGGCATTCGTGTGGCTAGCCAGCTGAAGAGGATGGTGGAAAATGGAAGAAAGTGGAAATGTGTTGTTGAAGCCCTATGTTCCACTCGGAATCCAAAGGAATACTAATGATCTGTTTAAAGTTCATTTACAGCTGTTTCCAAGTATGGTTATATGAATTTGTTTTAATAAACAGACAAACTATTTACTCTCTCTCAATTAAACCACTCAGCTCAGTGAACAAAACACTACTGATGGAAATTCAATGATTTACAGAAAGAAAACTATTCATTAAAACAAATTTCATACTTTTTTTAGTACATGATCTTATCCTGATATGGACGTTAAGCATGAAGTTAAACTTAAAAGAATCATAGAAATGGACATAGTTAATCTGTTATTGTTTATCACGTCATAGTAGTAATAAGCGTGCAGTAAATTAAACTACTAAATATCAACCAATCAAAATCTCATCCTAATTATCTTCCATTTGATCCAGATGTATGAAGAATAAAAAAACCGTTTACTCATACTTCCAATAGAAATTAAGATAAATGGACGGGTATTCAGCTCTCTCTCTCTCTCTCTCTCTCTCTCTCTCTATATATATATATATATATATATATATATATATATATATAGCCCTCATAAACATATACGAATAGTTACAACAATAACTTTCCTATATTATTCAATTTGTTTTCTGTTAAGAAAATATGTACACACACATTTCTCTTGAACTGTACTAATTCAGAATGTCTACTGCACAGAGTGGAATTATTTCTATGTTAAAACATGGAAATTCAATTGCAGATAAACTTGATGTTGTTGCCCTTAGTATTTCTTTTATCAATGCAATTATAAATCCCCTATTAATCATTTATATATTTGATATAAATTTAGGTACTCAATCGCTTAGTATACTAATAATGTTACAAATGACATTTGAATGGTTTACATCAGTTGCTGGGATACTTTATATATTTATTCCAGTTATTAAAACAAAGGAATTATGGTTTAATATATTAATTTGTCATATGTGGAGTAGTACATTTATGTATAATTTATTTATTATGTTTTGTAAGTATAATTCTGTTACAATGTTAATTGAACGAACTTTTCAAATTATTTATCCAAATAAAAATATTTTAGATTATTCACGGACAGTATTCACATCATATTGTTTTGCACTGATCTATGTTATGGCAATTAATTTAAGATTTACTGTTATGGTACAAATGAATCCACTGGGTGAATGTACACCTGTTGATCAAAATCTAGCCGATGATTTACATCGTAAACAATTAATCATATTTAGTTATTTATGCTTAGCGCTACTATTAATTTTACCAGCTGTTATCATGGCAACGTGTTATATTATCATGTTGATACATTTTGTGAAAGCAAAACGTGAGAATAAAAATTATATAGGATTTGATAGAAATAATTTACAGCATATTTTAACCCTTCTAGTTATTATTTGGTCAGTTGAAGCAGGAATAGCTAATATACTGGATATGATTGTATTTTATGATTATCAAAAATATAGTTATACCCATTTGACACAAACAACGCATAGTACAACTGAACTTGTACGTATATTCAATTATGTTACGCGTACAATCAGTTTATTTATTTTTATAAAACCGATTCGTATGCGATTGATTGAAGATGTTTATTCAATGATAAATTTCTTTTCAAGAATATTCAAATGCAAAAGAAAAGAAAAACGAATCAAATCAAAATCTTTAGAAGCAAATTACTAACTTTATTTTCATGTTGTCATTGAAAATTTGCAAAGAAAAAAAACGTTTGCCGTGTTAAACAAAAACGCTTTTGATTTATTTTCTATTTGTGTTTTCGCACCGAATAAACCTTCGTTTGTTTTAATTTTTAACTTTATGGAAATTAATTAATTTAATCAATTTCATGCATTTAAAAGGAAACATTTTCATATTGTTGTACACATTTTTGTTGAAAAAAAGAAACCATTTTTTAAACTCATTTGAGTAACATTATTTACATGAACAGTAATCCTTATTGATTTGTATTAATTTATGATTTCAGGAAAAGAATGTAGCTGTTCTGATACTTTTAATACTATTGTTGAGCTATTTAAACACTTAGCATTAATAATATATCCCATCGAAAATCGTTTAAACTCTACACTAACTAGTTAATATGAAAAAAAACTAGTTGAGTGTGATTCGAACAGCAAATAATGAAACAAAATGGTTAGTTTTGATATAGCTGATCTTGATATTAGGATATCTATCACTATGGATTTGGAAGTAGTTAGAAAAGAAGTAACTGCGGTCCACGAACTCATTTACAGGACTATGATCTTTGAGTTCCAGAGCAAGTATATATAGAGAAACAAAAGTGGTAGCAATGGGATTACCAATATCATGAATCCTGGCATAGATAATTGGGAGAATGTGTCTCTAGAACATTTAATCATACCGAAAGATTTGGTGGAAATAGATGAAAATGTTACTGCTAGTAAAATCAAAAGATAAGAAGTCATGAAATGATATAAGTGATATTAGAAAGTTCTATGAGCTCCTTGATATGACTACGAGCAATAAATTGTTCTCAAAACATCATCAGTAAATAATACTGCACCACTGTTTGTTTTTATTAAATAAAATTGTTTTATGGTGGGGTAAACGAAAACGTTCGATGACGCTGTTTATAATTTTGGTAGAATTCAAATCATGTATGCATTCACTTTAGTCGAGGATAAATGCAGTACTTCTTTATCCCTAAGTAGAATACTTCTCTGCAATTCATGAATGTAACAGCATGATTATTTGCATAGCATTCAGATATAAGAACAATAATGTTTTTCGTTAACATGAAACTAAGCACACCTTAGAATACCAGTATTTCTTATTGATGCTTCAAATCGTAATTATTTTATTCATTATTCCTTTGGGTTCTGAGTGGAATGTAGGGCTTCAACAACACATCTCCACTTTATTCTATTTTCCGCCGAAATCTTCAGCTGGCTAACCACACGATTACCCATAATCTCTCATCTTCTTCTTCAGAAACTATCTACACCATGTCACCCTGGCACCAACTACCCACTCTTCCTTTCCAAGTGGGATTCCACTCAGGCAATAGCACGCATTGAGCGCTATGTCATTCAACAGCCTACTCAACGTTGGACCGATCCGTCTCCATTTTATCCTACATATTTAGTGATCGATTGGCTCTCGCCTGTCGATTTGTTACCAGTCAGGGTTTCTTAACGCTAATTCCTTCTGGCCAGCTGGCCATTTAATCTTCAGCATGGAACCAACGAACGTGACAGCTGTAGATGGAAGTCTGCAGTAACCTTTGTATATCCTTTTCGTGGCACGCGATGCGAGTTTCTGACCTGTATAGAAAAAATGACTGACTGACTTCACACTGGAGTTGGAAATCTGAATCTTGTTGTTCTTTATGCTGAGGTGAAGTGCAGAAGATTTGCAAACTGGTTTCAGGTTGATGAAGGCGTACGTTACCTTTCGTATTGTGGCTGTATGGCTGGTTTTGATATCTTCATCCGTTCTGGCTGCCTGTAGTTGAAACAGTGTTTCCTGGCTGGATAAATGAGGGAAGTAACTTTTGTTAAATCTCTCCCACTGATGGTGATTGATGCTGTTTGTTGTTGCTGTTGGTGTTCATTGGTGTGTATATTCATCACCTCCGTCCTGTCTATGTTCACTTGGAGTCCTGTCTTCGCCACCTCTGCAGACAGTTCGCTAATTCTCGCCTGTAAGTCACCAAGTTCATGCGTGTGACATTAAACATAAATCACTCACGCGTGAAATCCCGATCTTCTAGTGTCATGCTATCGGTCGTCCACCGTATCCCTACCTTCTCACTACCTGTGCTCAGTCTGACGCATAATGCTGTCCACCACAATTAGGAATATCATCGGTGATAATAGGGAAGCAGCTTTTCTTACTCATGTATTCATTTCGAACGCCTCGCTGAGTTTTCTGTTGTGGATCAGCTGACAAGTGTTGGCATTGTCATATAGACAGCTGTTGAATGAGGTTGATAAACACTTGAGCACTGCACGCCATTTTGTTGAAGTAGTTTCCAAGTTACTTCTCAGTTAACGCCGTCTATGTAAGTCCTTTTCGAAGTCGATTATGTTAAGGTATAGTTTTAACTGCCATTCTATGCTTTAATCAATGACAATGCATATATTATCAGTATAATTCTTCAAAAACAGCATTATTGCCGATAAATGTGAGAAGTTAAAGCGAAATAGATGTAGAAAGACCATAAACTAAGTGTTACATCTTAAAATCTCTGCTTGAGTTTAATACTCTGCGTTTTTTTTCATTGCTTATGAAAGCAAATAAAAACAATAATTCGGGATTATGAATTAAACTTTAATTGTTTTATCAGCATGGAATAATATACAGTAACTGCTGTTTATCACATTCTTTTTAAATGATGTTTTGCATTTCTCTTAAATAAAGCACAAAATACAGACAAATTAGTTTTTATTTGTGAATGACACTTCTGTTGTAAATTCCAGTGTACACTATCACCATAAATATTGTATTATTGCATTAGATAATTATTTAGGAGGTTCAGCTTGGTTGTCATAGATATTTCAGAATAATAATGTGTGAATGAGGAACATTAAACTTTAAGTATCAATACAAACTATGAAAATTCTTTTATATCGCAAATCAGTGTTGTATCTGAAAACTGTTTAAGTGTAATGGAATTTCGCTTGTAACATCAGTAACTGTCTAAACGTTTTACAAAATATTCAACATGACAATTTTGGTCTAATGAACTGGACACAGTTGTGAATGAGCTAGTGACTTCTGCTCAGGACAGTAGGGTTATGGTAACATTTAAGCTACCACTAAGACTTCTGTGCAGAACATGTATATTTTTCTGTGAAAGAATAAGTTACTCCAGAAACTAAGAAATATTTGAAGAAAGATCAAAAACAGGACTTTATTAATTTGGGTGTTAGAAGGACATTTCTTTAAGTCACAGTACTTTGTTTTCAGTACGATTTAGGGATACATATTCGCAAGCACCATCTGCCTAGAAAGCAAGAGGGAGGAGGAAATTTTCTTAATCGACGATTTTTTCTACAGAGGCTATAAAATCGTGTTTATATATACTTAAGTGTATAGAAGTGCGCTATTGAATAACAGTGGAGTATGGCGTGGTAGATGTAATAACCTAGAAGTGACTTTAAGATATAGGGTAAGTTAGGTAATCATCGACAACATAATGGAATTAAAATTAGTAAATCTGACAAGCTGATAATCTTTATAGGATGAAGAAAAGGTTGACTGATTGTCTACTTAACATGCATGGAAAATATGGAAAGCCATTTAGTAAAATGCATAACCGGGACATATAAGAATAATAATACTGAATTACTTACTATTAACGAGAAAGAGTTTTAAGTGACCGACAGACTCGACAAACTTACTTTGCTTGCAAAGCCTTGGGTAATATCAAAAAACATAAAAGTCTAAATCTAAAATCTCTTGTGTCGTTTGATAATTTGCTTATCAATTGTTTTCGTCACCTCCACAAATACTGAGTGGATATTCGTCCAACTTGCTTCTCATCTAATGGAGACTATCAGCTTGTTTATTTGCAATTCTTCACTTTTATTATCTTATTGATGTTAAGTATCTTATCGTTGAAAACCACTTCTGAGTTACCGCAATTACTGTATCACTCTTCTCTGTTACTCTATAATAGAATTCCAGACGTTTCAATCAAAACAAATACAATGCTGCGGTCTTTGATAGAAAAACATTCAGCACTGAAATGTCTTGTATATTCCACGTATTTTTTGCCTCAAGTGATCTGATGCACTCATCAGAACTGGAAACCACCTTACTGTGTATTATTGTAACATATCTTATCACTTAGATATCTCAGAAATCTTTCGATTTCACGTAATGGAACAAACTCATAATAGCTATCATTGAGGCGATTACTTGTAGTGTCAAGGAAATTTTGTTGCTACTCTGAACGCGATCGAATGACTTTTACGACTTTCCAGTAAGGGGAACTTTTATAAGGTTATCCTAGTTATGAAAAAGAACAACATTCAATATTGTTTTATCAGAGGCACGAAATAAGATTCAAAATATGCTGAGCCTGCCCCGTAGCTTGTGTGTATTTTGAAAATGCTCGGCATTTTTACAATTCAACTATCAAATTTCAATGCAAATGAGATTCTATCTAAATGCAACTAAAAGTATTCTATCGGCATTTTCACTTCCGCTGATGTTTTAACCAGATCGAAGTTATTCTAATATTGATGTTAATACAACTGGAATTAATTTTCTGCATAAGTATTTTCCCTAATTTAGCTTATCGTCTTGTATTTATGTAGAGTAATTTGGTAACATATTTCGAAATGTTGCGACTTCCTTTTATCAATACTGAAGCGTTCAGTTACTTGTTTCATTTTCGTATATTATAACATTTAGTGCAAAAAACACGAAAAAGTATATTTCCATTTGTATTCATCGTACACTAATCAGATAAGAAGATTGTAGATTTTCATATTTTGTTCCAGTAAATATTGAGATATGTCACTGTCTTCGTTTACTAGCTATAGAGCGATTGAACAACATAGATTAGTTCGGAGTATATCACATGAGATTCAAAAGTAACTATGATTACCACGCATTGTTGAATATCTGTCACTGATATGTTTTTAATATCCTATCGAAATAAAATTACATTCGATTATATATGTTTCATTTTTATGAGAGTGCGACTTGTTTATATATTGTGGTTTTTTTAAATTCAAAGACCCATTAGGTAAAAGGTTTTAATAGTATTTTTTAGTAAAATTTGATGTTGGTATTCAGCAGCTTTATTCCTTTCCTGTTAACAGAAAAAAGATATAATATGAGGCTCTATAAGATTGGCCAATAGGTTGGTTGAAAGTGTTCAGCAGGAAGCCATAAGCATCAGT